AGTTCTCCGTTTTAGACATGTGGAGACTGGAAACTGGCTTGAAACTAAGCGTTGCTTTCCATGTTTATGAAGTGACCATTTCCTCAGTAACCTGCTGGGAAACCTTTGATGCCACTCCTACTATGGAGCCACTCCTTCAGGTTAAACTTTGCCTTCTCCACTCCTTTCTTTGAAGATGCAGGTGCCTCCCGCAGTGGGACTTCCTGGTCTCTTGGGGCCTCAGGGCATCTCTTAATAGCCCTAGTGTGAGTGAAAGGAAGGCAGCAGGGTGGGCTTTGCTGCTTGGGCCAGGGGCCAATCTGTGCAGGCCGGCTCCACCACAGGTGGACAGGGAGAAGGTCAGAGCAGATCGTAAGATATGTGGCAGATCACGGGCCAAACTCCATCCAGCCACCTGAGTTACTGTGCAGAGTTCCTCCCAGGGACTTCTGAGATTCGTATCTCTATGTGCCTGTGTGGGAGGCTAGAAACACTGGCTGAATATTGTCTGTCCCTCTTCATGATAAGGCACCCTGTCAAATCTGTCAGTCTTTTTCTGCAGTTACCACACCAAATCCCAAGCCTCAGGTTTTATTTGAGTTGGGGCTACTGAAGCCCAAGCATGATAATGCAGCGTCACCTTTCTCTGCCCACCTTGACCCCATGGACAACCCATTGTGGCCCAGAGAAGGCGGAGACCGGTACTCTCGCTACTGTTCACCTAGGCTTACAACTTCTCCCTTTGTGGGCAGGCTGTCTTCCCACCACTGCAGCTTAGGATGGGTGGTTTCTGACATAAGAAGCCTGGGCCTTGGCCTCGGCACCCAGGTAACTGCTGCCTGGGCACCAGTGCCCTGTCTGTCCATTTGTCCTCTATTCAGCTCCACAGTGGCCACTGGGAACTCAACACCCAACAATTTGGGGCTTTTGTTTGGATAGAATTTGAGGTCGCCCTGGGGTATGTGACATCCCCCGTAGGATCGCCCTGGTCAGTCACAGGCTTCCTTCGTCCAGCCTGCCACAGGACAGCATGACCATGCCCACCATGCTTCCTTGTGGCACTATCCTGGGCCTGTGGCCCTTCTGTGTGCCTGCGTATGGGGCATATGTGCCTCTCCTGATATGTAGCTTCAAGCCAATGCTGTGTTCTGCTTGCAGGCAGGTTAAAAACACATGCCTGGAAAAGCAGAGGATGTAAGGGTTAAATTTCCTTGAGCGCAGCCCAGGGGATGTCTTCTGCATTCTCAGACGTTATCTCAGAGAAGTGTAGTACCCCAGGGTCTGCCTGACTGTAACTGACATAGCTCTTGGAGCAGATGTGTGTTTGTGTGCATGTGTAAATCAACTCCACAAGTCTACTTGCATTCAACTCATTCCCCTGAACTGGTCAACTATGGCTGACTCTCTTGAGTGGGTGCTGTAGACCACACTAGTTGTTTTACCTGTAGGGCCTCATTTTTACCGCTACAGTAATGCTGAGGTAGGAAGAGACTGTTAGGGTCCTTATTTTCTAAAAGAAAACTATAGCACAGGGAGATTCCATTACTTGTCCAAGATCAACAACTAGTGAGTAGAAAGAAAAAAAACAAAAAAACAAAACAACTAGTGAGTGGGCAGCATGAGTTCTAAGTAAGGCAGGCAACAGCTGACCACTGAGCCTCAGCTTGGAATCACCACAGGGCTTGTGTGGCTGAGTGCACCTGTGTTTCTGTGTGCTCACATGCTTATATACCCTTTAGCATATTGGCTAGCCCATGAGTGAAGCTGAGAGAGTACAGAGGAAAATGTTGGGAGGACCTTTCCCAGAGGGGACATCCATGCAACAAGGAAAGTGAGGTCAGGTATGTAGATGAGATCCCCAAAGCCCACCTGCAAAGTCCACCTGTTTGGAGAGTGGGGTGGGTGTTAGGGAGCTATTGCTTTAAATCTTCTTCTAATATGCAGAGCAGAGCCTTGGATGGGCAGGATGAGGCAAAGTCTGAGTTTCCCAGAGAGATTTGGGGAGTCAGTGGAATCTGAAACAATAAACCAGATGTTTCCTGAGCCCCTTGCATGCTGTGTCTGGCCTGTCATCCTTCATCCTCACCAATGCTTTACCGCAAAGGCCCAAGGTGCTCTCATAGAATCTCACCAGGGATGGGTTGGTTCCTTCCTAGAGTGGAGAGAATCGTTGCTGAGGCCTTGGAGGAGGTCACTCAGTGCAGCAGTCTGTCCTAAATATTCTTCAGAAGAGCTAGGAGCCACAACGGGCACGCTGGGTGTCTTCACCAGCTCCTTCTCTTTAGCCTTTGTGGCTCAGGGACAGTGTCCAGGTGTGACTCCAGTCTCAGGCTCTCCCTGTGATGGCTGCTTTATAATACAGTCTGGACAGCACTTTGGCTTGTGAGGGATCCTTTCTGTCTTCAGAATAATGATAAACACATGAGTTGGAACGGTAGTAGGTAGGCCAAACTATGCATGGCTCCTCTTCTTTGCCAGCCCCAACATGTCTCTTCTCTTACACACCCTGACATTGGGACTTTTTGGTACACAAACACCTTAAAATCTCCTCCCAAATGTCTACCAGGTCCACAGCTGCAGGAAAACCCTTAGTCAGAGGAGCCCTTGGGCTTTATGATCAGTTTTCCAGTGTTCAGGTCTTCCTCAGCTTCAGGTTGGTGGTGAACCCTTAGTCTATACCTATTAGCTTCCTTCTCTCTGGTTTCATGCAGTGGCTGACCCTGCTGAGTGCCTGCTGTGTGCCAGGCACTGCACTAAGCACTTTGCATTTGTTGCCCCCAAATTGCCTCATAATAGCTCTTACTTGTAGGCACTGTTGTCTTAGTCATTTTCCAAAGGGGGAAATAGAAGCAAAACAGACTAAGTTACTCTCCCAAGATCACAAAGCTCATGAATAGTTTTGGGAAAGAGAATTAACCTTTCTGGTCCTCAGTGTACTCACCTATAAAATATGGTTAATATTGCTATTGGGAGTGAGGTTTAAATGAGGCTGTATGTATGGCACCTAGTAGAGTGCTATGCAAGGCTCCTTAACAATTGGACTGTTTGGGTCAGCCAAATAGCTCAGTGGATTAAAGTAGGCTACAAGCAGGACAGGGGCGGGTGGGGGGGCTCCATCACCCAGCCTGCCATGCTGGCCCTGCTCCCGGGGTGCACTGAGATGGCAATTGAGACTGGGAGAGGTGGCACATGCCTGTAATCCCAGCTCTTGGGAGGCTGTAAACAGGTGGGCCAATATGAGTCCAATCTAGCAATGAGACCCTAAACACCCTGTAGACCCTTCCCTAAAAATACGAAAAAGAAAAGAAAAGAAAAAAACAATAGAACTGTTAAGCTCAGCCAGAGGAGAGAAAAATCGAATGACCATAGCATCATTCACAGTGGTAATCAAATACTATACAGTTCATGGACACTTCCATTTGCAAACAATTTGGTTCCCAAACAAAATTGTTCAGAAAAATTTTCCTTTACCAGTCCTAAGGGGGCCCTTTGCAGCACTGGCCATCCCCTCTCTGGCAGCTTTTGCTCTCTTCTGCCTTGTAGCTGTTGCTGAGTATACCTGACTTATTTCCTATTGGTGGGAAGCTTCCCAAGTAAGGACACAGCTGAGTCTTGTCCAGTGCCATCTGCCCCATGAGGACAAGACTCGGGACCTAGAAGTAGATTTGAATTTCCTGAAGCCCACCTTGGGGGTCTTTCTTCTTCAGTGGTGAATGGCCAGTGCTGGTGGTGGTGACAGCCCCCAAGGATGTGGGTCATCAAATGGCAGCATCATGCCCTCAGTGCCTTGGGTGGGAAGGGGTCTGTGTTCATGGTGGGATTGTAATGTCCTCCTTCCATCACATGGGGAAGAATTATTTTTAAGCTATACTCTCCCTTGGCAGGCTGGCACGTTAAGTGGTTGCTGACAGTGTGTTCCCCCATTCACTGAGAAAATCCTCCCACCATTGACCTGCTTGTTGGGCTCTATGCCAATCCCTTTTTGCAGGTGCCCCCTCATCCTGAGTGAAGTAATTCTTGGACTGAATTCTAACCTAACATCTTGCCCTATGCCTCATAGGATAAATCTGAAAGGGCCCATTGTTCAGGGAACATCTTTTCTTTGAAGACCTTGTGCTTGGGGCAGCCCGGCCTTTCCTGCAATAGTGGCAGAAAATGGGAGAGTGAGAGGATGAGGTGGATGATGGTGACAGTGAATTTCAAGGCAGGCCCAGCTCCAAGCTCCCATCATGGAAGCCCTGAGCTCGACTTGTGTCCTTTCCAGAAATATAAGCCCTACCTATCCAATTTCCTCTAACACCCCTTCTAGGTTTCCCACTGCTGCCTCTGCATGACAATGTGGCATGCATGTGGCCTGTCTGGGGATCAGGGAACCCTGTAGGGTATGCCAGCTTAATGAAATACTTGCAATTTATTAAACACAGGCTTCCCTAAGCCCCAAGTGCCTGTGGGTATTTGAAAACTGAAGGTAACCCTGAGCTACCACAAATGTAATTGCTACATGTGTCCATGCATTCCTTTTGCAACCTCAAACTAACTCTGGCTCTTAAGCAGCCCTTGAAATGAACAACATAAAGTAACTCCTAGTCAAAAAAGGGGGGACATGTGGGGTAATGCTGAGAGAGGTTGCCCAGAACCTCTCTGGGGCTCTAAAAGTATCCAAAGTTCTCATTACCTCTAGCCATGGAGGGTACTTCTCTACCCCTTGGGGCTACTTGGTGATGGAGAATTGGTTCATTATGAGCCAGAAAGCCAGCAGGCCTTGAATGTCAAGCTTGCATGTCAGTCTCCCATGATGTAGCTCAAATATTTCAAGCCCTGATTCAGTAAGGCTTGCTCTCAGTGCCAGCACTAGCAGAGTATAGTGTTTGGGGCCTCCCTCGAGAGCTGTACTTCAGCTCCTTCTCCAGGACTTGGCTGGAGAAGGTTGTTGCAAGTATGGAAAGGACTGTGGAGAAACTGCTGGTGACCAGGAGCCTGGTGACCTGGACCTGGAGGAGGTTGCTCCTGCAGAAGGCCTCCTACTCATCACTCTCTTCAACCTTGGGTTGGTAAATCAGGGTCAAGAGCTGAGATGGAAGTGGCAGACAAATGCCTCCAGGGAGTGGCCTCCCTTCACCTGGACATCACAGGAGACACTTCTGATAATGTACAGGTACTTGTTCTAGGTACCTCAGTGGCAGCCTGTTGACCCCGCACAACTCTTGTGGCTCAGCACTTTGAGTCAGAAGGTCAATAGAGCCTTTCTCCAGGTGGGGATCCAGGGACAGGTGTTGGTGGAAGAGCTGGCGCAGCTTCAGATGGAGATGGGCATCCTGCTCCCAGCCAATCAGCAGTGAGCTGGTATCATGCTGCCACTGCAGTGGGACGTTGGTGAAAGCAGCAGGGTCCAGAGTTGGGTGACTCAGGCTCAGCTGCAGGACTGTGAGTGTCTTGTCCATGGTCAAGATCCTGGGAAGGACAGAATGACCTCTGTGCCTTTTTGAGCTTGAATAGCCCAATCCCCTTAGGGATCCCTTGGCCACATCTAGCCAAACAGGGTCTTGCATCCATAGATAGAGTCCTTCTACCCAATCTAGGTTAGAGACAAGTGGTTCTATCTCTTGACTGGCTCCAGGAATGGGACATGCCACCTTTCCTCGCTGCATTTTATATATGTATACCCATCCTTCAGTGGAGGGGATAAAGCATACCAGCTTGCAGAACGGGGTTTTGGTTGTCTGTTGATAATTTGAAGACAATTGGCCTTGCTTCATAAAAAGGGAAGGGCAGAAATATAGGCTCAACCTGCACCTTCCTTGCATCTGACAGTCACAGAATAAGCCCTCACTGAACCCTATCTCTGGAGATGTGGTAGGACACAAGAGAGGGAAGCCCACCTTCTCCCAGGCATCAGAAAAGCTGCTGGAGACCCCAAGGAAGAATAAAAACATTGAGCATCTTCCATGTGTTTCCTGTGGGCCAAACCCAGAGCTTGTGAGGGAAACAAACACCCTGTCTTCACCAGTGGGCAGAAAACAGGTTCTGATGGAGAAGGTGGACGGTGCCATGCGATGGCTCACTAAAAAGCCCAAGGGGCTTCATGGAGGCAACAGTGGGAAATGCACACGTGTGTCCCATAACTCTATCTCCAGGAATTTGTTCCTTTGACTCTCCCTTGGCATACCTGAGAGGCCATTTCCAGTGCTTAGCTCTGTTCCTGCATGGATTGGAAGGACACAAACTTTCTGCCACCCACATACTCCATGTGGCCTAGGATCTGTTGCCCCTTTGATAGGAGCCAAGAGGGCTGAGTGTTGGATAAGTAATGTATTTTCCTAGCTCCACATTTTTGCTCATATTATTTTCTCTAAAGACATCTTCTGCCCCAAACTCTGTGTTCATATACTGCTCATCTTTCTTTCTTTTTTTTTCTTTACATTTATTTATTTATTTATTTATTTATTTATTTATTTATTTATTGTGTGTGTGTGTGTGGCCAGCTCAGCCCACCAGGGGGCAGGGCTGGCTGGCATGTGGTGCTGGGGGATTGAACCGCGGTCCCTGTGCTTTGCCAAGCTTGTTCCAAGTAGGTGCTTTAGACCACTGAGCCATCTCGCCAGCCCCAAAGTTTTTTTTTTTTTTGGGAACCGGGGATTGAACTCTGGCCCTTGCGCTTGCCAGGGAAGCACTTATTCCACTGAGTCATCTCCCCGGCCCCTGCTCATCTTTCAAGCCTTGGTTGTTACCTCCTTTATGGGGCTTTTTTTCCTTTCATCTTTGTCTCTGTCTTCTGACATCTGCAGCAGAGAGAGTCTACCTTACCAATGCACCCCCATTTTCATTTCATGCCAGAGTTCTGTGGTCCTTTGTCCTATCTTCCCTGAGCTCCTCTCTTGTCTCCTTGGCATCTCCCAAAGGCAGAGCATGCCTCCCTTCTCTGTATAGACAGCTCCTGGCCATAGCAAGTATCTGAGGACACATTGCCCAGCTGGCTAAATGAGGAGAAGCCTACATACATGGTCTAATTAAGTATTGACAGAGCATTAATGGGGGTCTGATCCTGAAAGACCATGGGACAACAGCTGATACCAAGTGACACAAAGTCATTGTCATTCCTAGTCCTCATCTCTCTGCCCCTTCTAACCTTTGCATGTAATTGGCTAATGGGGACCTGGTCTGATAGTGCAGTCTAGGCCTCTCAGGATAATCTCTTCTCCTTGGTACATAGATACATGTGTGCTCCTGCCATGTCTCCCTTTGGGCCCTGCTTGCAGAAAGCCTCTCCCTGAGATAGGGATAGGGCTGAGTCCAGAACAACTGGGTTGGGCCTTTGTAAGCTTCAGGCCTGGTCAGAAACTCAGTGTTTGCTCCTAGAAACCAATTCTGTGGCTCAGGGACTCTGATAGAATCCTTGTGAAAAGATTCATGGCTGCTCTGTGTGACCTTACTCTACTCTGTTGAGCCATTTTGAGATGACAGAAATCACCCACTGGCAAGAAGTTACACTAGAGCCTTTCACTTATCTCTTAAACACCCACTTATCTGGGGAAACAAACCTATCCCTTACGATGCTGCCTTGGTTGAAGGAATAAAACACTCAGGTGTGTGCCTGGCAAGAAGCTCTCCTCTGGTTTCCCTGAGGATTCCAGGACTTCTGACTCCACATACCTTGTTGCCAGGGGCACATCTGGCATTAGCCCTGCAGCTGTGAGCTCTCTCAAGGAAGTGGGTTTGGGCTGGAGCAAAGCCGGGAGGCCTTTTATAGCTGCAGCTCAAGAACATAAGGTGTCCAAAGTCACTTCTGTTTTGTTTGTTTCTTTTTCTCTTTGGGGAAGAAAATGAAAGTGTAATTTTCCATTTCAGAAGCACAACAAGCCACTGCTGAGAGTTGGGGAACCCCAGCTTGGGATCCTGTCTGGGAGGAGCCTCCCGATGGGTGTGGCTCTCCCCTGGGTCACAGTGCTGCAAAGCCTCTACCACTTCACCCCAGGGTATCAGCAGATTCTCCTGGTCCTGGCTGTCCAAAGAGGCAAAAGCAGCACTGAGGTGTTAGAAAGGAGGCCTTTGTGGGCAGGGGTTGTAGGCACTCTGAGGAGTTTTGGCTGAGTTAGGATTGACAGAGGAAGCTGTAGCCAATGGTACAATCCCTGGAGTGTCTCAGGTAAGAGGGGCACAGGGAAGGGAGAGAAGAGCCAGTCCCAGGAGGTGGCCTTTCATGCAGAGTATCTGGAAGCTGTCTCATATACCCACTCCTCTCGGATCTGCTGTTCTGTGGTCAGTCTGGCAGAGCTCAAGGTGGACGCTTGCCCAGTGCTCTGAGCTCTGCCTGCATGTTGTAGCACAAATCTCTCATGCTGCCAAGGTCAGATAACCTTCCTTACCTGCCACTCTGCCAAGCTGACAAAACACATGAACCCATTTTACACAAGGGCCAATCAAGGCACAAAGAGAAGCAATGCCAGGCCCCAGAATGAATCAGCAACCTAATCCTTTCTCTTTCTACGATCAAAACCTGGGCCTTCTGGGCCTTCTTGGAAGGGTATAGGGCAGGCCAGGTTGCAAATGTCTTCCTGATTTGTCTCCCTGTATTCCAAACCCACTGGTTATTCAGTCCTCATTGGTGACTCTGATGGCCCCTGATGCTCTCTGGGTAGCTGTTTGGAAGCCCAGCTTACTCTCTCCATTTTGAGCACTTCAGTCCTCCTGTGAGTTATCCTCCTGACAGCATCTGTCAGTTGCTCAGACAGATGTGATCATGAATAATTGTTTCCACAGAAGTGTGGTGATGGGCGAGTCTCTGGACCTGTTCTGAGAGGACTTCCTGAAGAAGACATTAGAGCCAGCACTGAATCAACCTCAAGCCTAGAGAGGTTGGCTGCCCAGCAGTTAAAGATCTAGACTCCAGGCTTTAATGTTAGCCATATCTAATTCAGGTTCTGGTTCAGGAAATGCCTTCATCCTGGGTCAATCTTTTCACCTCTTGGAGTCTCAGACTTCCCATTTGTAAAATGGGTTCTGGAGGAACAACTATGTCAAAGGAATGTTGTGAGTCTTCAGAAAAAAAGAGAGCATACAAATGCCTAGGTGTTATGATGATTGGGATCCAAGATGTCCCTCAAAGCCTTATTATGTGGAAGGCATGGGTAGCAGTTGACGGGCTTCGGGCATTGATAGATCAGGAGGGATCTACTTTATTAAGAGGATGAGTTCATCAGCTAAGTGGACTTATGAGGAGATGGGGCCTAATGAGATGAGGTGGGTTAGTGGGTGGCATGGCTTTGAAGTGTGTATTTTTGTCTCTTGCCTTCTGATATTCCTTCCATTCTTATGTTCCCACTCTCTCCCTCTGTCCTTTCCTCTGCCAAGCCGTTCCATCATATTTTTGCCTCACATCAGGCCTAAAATCAATGGAGCCATTTGCCCAGGAACTGAAATCTCTGCAGTTATGAGCCCAACTAAATCTTTCCTCCTTGAAGTCCATTCTTTCAGGTAGTTTGTCGCAGAGCAGAAGCTCACTAACACATGTGTGGTGCCTGGCACAGAGCAGAGTCCACCCATGGGAGCATCCCTAAAGGATTAATGGTGGGCTTTCAGCTCCAGCTATGGGATAGGAAGTATCAGACTAACCTTCCCAATAAAAACAACTATAAGAGATGGGTTTTTAAAAATCAGTTTGAGACCAGGGACATAACTGAGCGGCACAAGCACCCGCCTGGCAAGCACAAGGTCCTAAGTTTGATTCCCGGTGCCAAAAAATACAAATTAGCTTGAAAGGCATCAGAAGGCAATGGGGACCCAGGACTGGCAGAGTCAGGACCTCGGTGGGAAGGTCTGACGTGCTACCCTCTTCCCTCGGAGGCATTTGGAAATTTGAAAGCAGCACGGGCCCATGCTCTGAGCAGACAGTGGCAGCTTGGAACTCCCACGAAGCTCAGACACTGAGGCTCAGGACTGAAAAGGCCAAGAGCCTGGGCAAGAACAGAACAGCAGAGAAGACAGCTCAACATTCTGTTCTACCTCTAAGTCATCTGATTTCAAAGCTGGGACAAGGAGAGGCTGAAACCCCAAGTGAACCTGACATAAAAGGCTAAGAGCTAAGCAGAGCCTGAGGCAGGCGTTGCACTAAAGAAACTAAAACTGGATTCCAGGATCTGCCAAAGATTGGTCATGTTAAACACCCTGCGCCATAGGGTACTTCTACAACTAAGAGTAAACCACAGTAGACCAGGCTTATAGAAGACTGAAACCCACACTAAAATCATCTCCAACTCTCCTTGAACTACATTCTAGAAGAAAAGTAAACCTTTGATAGACTAGTTACATACTAGAGTCTATGATTTTTCATTAATAACTAAATTTTATACACGATTGTTATGGTTTGTGTATAGATGTCCCCCCCCCCAAAGTCTCCTGCAGTCTTGGGGCGGCTTCTGGAGTTTGTGATTGATTACTGTGGGTG